TGGGTTCACCACAGTTGTACACCAGAGCTGTATGCACGGTAAGTTAGCAATTTAGCGGTAGAATTCCTGTTGAGGTGTAGGCCCTCGTGCATGTGATCGGGGTTCACCCCGGGTGGTGTGCCGTGGTAAACCAGAGGAAAACCACATCAGTATAATGGTCTGTGTATGACCTTGCATGCATATCTGGGGGGTCACCCCAGGTGGTGTGCCATGAAAAAATACCCAGAGGACACCCACATAATTTGTACGGTCAGGTACAGTAATATAATATGACCCTGTATAGGGTACAGTAATATAATATGACCCTTTGTAGGGTACAGTAATATGGTGTGACCCTGTGTGGGTACAGTGATGCAGCATGTGCATGTAATTCACTCAGACTCCTTTGGTGTATGCATGCTTTATATCCATTCCTCAAATGGCATGGAGGAATTTGTGCCAGGCACTGTATGATGTAGTACTTCCATATAAACAATGCCATATAAGAAAAAATATTAAAGGAGTGAAAAAACCCTTTAAGATACCTGAAGAGTTAATAAATTGATTGCAGAGCGCAGTGATCGGGTGATTCCCGGTCGGCCGCGAGCGGGGAAGGCGGCCGTCGTGTGTCTCGCGAGCCGCAAGATCCAAGATGGCCGCCGCCCGCGTGTGATAGCTCGCAACGGCTCGCGGCTCGCGAGTAGGAGCGCGGCAAAAAAACCAAAAAAAACAAACGCAGTACCGACCCGGCCTCCCTCCACCCGTCCCCACACAGTCCCCTGAGTATAATTAGGGCAGGTCCGCGGGGCGAGCGCGGCACAGACAGCCATGACGCCCGCGGATCGCCAGTAACAATGTTAAATGTTAATGTAGGGAAATTGAAAAGGGGGGAGAAGGGGAACAGGTATAAGAGAGCCAGGGTGCAGCAGAATGGAAAAATAAAGGCATAAATCTTGAGAAACAGTGTAAAATATGGATATACCAGAGAGGCAAAATACTCTGACCTTTGTAGGCTGGAGCAGCAAAAAAAGAGGAAGTGATGTCATAGACAGGGCCTTTTATGGGCATCATAACTTTTTAATGATTGGTTGTTATGTTTCTATGCTGCTGGAGTTTTCTGTAAAGAAAGATATGCAAATATGAAGCCTCCTGTCATGTGGTAAAATTAGTTCTCTAACGTATAGTATTGAATAAAGATGAAAATACTCTTATTTTTTTACCCTCTAATTTGAGTTGTCACTTTTCGTGTGGGTAAATCTTTGGTGGTTTTTGAGCGTTGATATCCGGGTGTATTTGGCACTTGGGTCCTCACTCTCAACATACCCGCTGTAGGTACACTTTTTCTTTGTATAAGTAAAATGCTCTCATACATGAAAGCATTGTGCTTTTTCTAGTTAAAATATTATTTAAAGGCATACTACATCATATTTTCCTCTCATTCACACATACCATTACTACCTAAAAAGGAGACGTTCCTTAGGAAGGGAGTCCCCTGCAAAATACTCCAAAGGCTACAGAAACTTAACCACACATCGGGCTCCATGCTTGTAAGTTGGTACTTTTATAAGTGTCCTAAAAAATGTAGGTTCCATTTAAGTTCTCATATTGTCTGCACTGTTATTTTTTTGTGTGTGTGTGTGTTTTTGTTTTTAAGTTTTTATCAGCACTCCAAAGAAGCATATTGGAAAGTATTTATTTGTGTATTCTATATATGCTGCATTTTGAAAATCATGATAATTGTGTATAATTTTTCATAAGCACTTTGGTGGTTTAGCACTGCTGCTATTTGCACAAATAAGAAGCACTTTAAAACAATTACATAAAAGGTTTTGCACTTTAGATTAAGTTTCGGTTATAAGGCCAGAGAAGCCAAACGGGGAGCACAGCTGACTTGGAGATTTTTTCCTTAAATTTGAAATTCCTTTGAATTCTCACTAAAGGTAAATACGTTGGTAAGCATCACTTTAAATTGAATGTTAATTGCACTGCAATGTTAATAGAAGCACTTTATAATAAGTATTTTGATTGAATCTGTTGCTAGTGTTTTAACACTTGATATAAAGCCACATATAAGCAATCCACTTTTTCAGAAACACTTAACCATCAGATGGAGCTTAAAGCTCAAAATATCAAAACAGCACATTACATATCCGTGTTGTTCTATTCTGCTCAGTGACATAAATAAAGAAGAAAAAAGGAGGGAACAGGAAGAATGGCAGAAAGTATGAGGGACAAAGGTATGCAAGATATTACATTCCAGAGGGATTTAGATAGACCGAGGAACTGGAAACTGAAATGGCAGATTAAATTTAATATAGAAAAATGCAAAGTTATGCATTTCAGTGTAAAGAATGCACAAGCAACTTATACCCTTAATGGAAGCAAATTAAAGATAACTAGAGTTGAGCGAACCCGGACTATAAAGTTTGGGTTCGTACCGAACATTAAATTTTTTGGGCCCGGGACCCGAACACGGACATATCACTGTATGTTCGGGTTGGAGTTCGGTGTTCGGCGATTTAATGGCGCGTTTTTCAAAGGCTGCAGGGCAGCCAATCAACAAGCGTTTGACTCGTGTACCCTTAGAAGCCATCACAGCCATGCCTACTAATGGCATGGCTGTGATTGGCCAGTGCAGCATGTGATCCAGCCTCTATATATAAGCTGGAGTCGCATAGCGCCGCACGCACATGAGGTCTTATTAGTGTAGGGAGAGGATGCTGCCGCTGTGAGGGACAGCTTAGGAAAGAATTCTGCAAACTAGTACATTAGTGGGGTGCACTTCATATCTGAGAATCAAATAGAAGCGTCAAATACAGCGGTTACATCGGAGTTTTAAAAAGTCAATTTTTTTGGGTGGGGTGCACTTCATATCTGAGAGTCAAATAGAAGCATCAAATACTGCTGTCACTTTGCAGTTTTAAAACTTTAAATTTTTTGGGTGCTAAACTGCTAAATAGTATTTTAGTGGGGTGCACTTCATATCTGAGAGTCAAATAGAAGCGTCAAATAGTGCGCTTACAGAACATAGTACTGCGCTTATAGTACATTTTGGGGCAAGCTCTTCATATCTGAGAGTCAAATCGAAGCGTCTAATAGTGCTCTTACAGCGCACTTGTAAAAATTCTTATTTTCTGGGTGCTAAACAGTACATACTGGGGCCTGCTCTTCATATCTGAGAGTCAAATCAAAGCGTCAAATAGTGCACTTACAGCACAGTTGTAAACATTCTAATTTTCTGGGTGCTAAATAGTACATTTTGGGTGTGCACTTCATATCTGCTGTATGTGTGCAACACTGGCTAGTTACCACTTCTCAATAAAGTCTAAAGACAAATAAATGTCGCCTATGGTGCAGGTAGTATAGAAGGCAAGACTGAGACAAATCATTCGGGTTACGTTTGCCTGTTGACATGTTAATTATCTTAGACCATTAAAATTCAATAATCAATGAAAAAACACACAAGTGTCATACGAAAATATGGGTATTATAGACAAGTTAAAAACAAGACTACAAGTCATGCTATAACAAAATTAAACAAGTTTTAAAATATGTATGGGCCAACCAGTGGCTGTAAAAACAAAGTTTTACTGGTTACATTCATGACTACACACTCTAGTGAACACTGTAGTGTAGTGTGTTCTTTTTTTTAAATCATACAGCATCCTTTCATGTGCTTTTCAGATGTTATATTGTTGATTACCAATTTTTGTTTAGCCTGATTTTTTTTTTTTTTTTAAAGTGAAAAATAAGTGTTATTGTGATCGCTTCAGATACAGAAGCATTAATATACATTTCTATATTGTGTAAAGACACAACTACAAAGTTAAAAACCAAACACCAAAACAACGTGCCAGACAATCTACCTGTGCCTGGCTAGTGTGATACAATAAGTCTACATTTTAAAAATGCAATAACCCACAGAAGATGGGTGAGAATTCTTTTTGCAAATGGAACTTTGATTCAAATTTACTACATCGGTCAGTTGTAATATTGTTTCACACCTACAACACTTGATACACAGATCTAAGTGACAGAAAACAGATTAATATTTTCTACACTAGAAACTACCAGATAACAAGCTGCTATATTTAAACCAGTTATCAATAGCTAAGAGGTACTTCAACATTATTGTAATTCTGGGGCAATACCCTCACAAGTCAAACTGAGAGGTCAGCTTATAGGGAAAACTGTTGCCTGGATACAATTCTAAAACAATTTCCATATGTCCTTTGCAGACTTTACATGCTGGAAAAACACAGGTGCCAACTACTGTGGATTTCTGCAGTGTGTATACCGGCAAGGAGGGCAGGGTGGAGGAGTGGGTGGAAGATGATATGGAGGATGATGAGGTCCTAGACCCCACATGGAATCAAGGTCATGCAGGTGACGTGTGCAGTTTGGAGGAAGAAGTGCTGGTCGCACAGAGGTACCAGCACAGCATAAGAGGGAGCAGGGTGCAAAAGCGGAGCGGCCGTCCCCTAGTGCTCATCGGCATGTATTATCTTTAGAATTCCTACAGTTATCCAAGTAACAGTTGAAGCTATAAAAAGAACCATAACAGATTTAACGAGCCATTGGCAGTTTCGCAGTCCGGTGACCGGGACCCAGACACTACCTGGGTGGCGGTCGGACAACTGGGACCCAGTATGCCTGATGTAGAAGTTAGGAGTCACAGTGTGGAATGGATTAGCAGGGTCTGGTGCAGGGTAACCACACGCCCCCCTGGTGTTGAGCACCAGCGTTTGTGTGGCCACATACCAGGACCCTGATGCAGCTTCAGTAAAAAGAGTACTGGTTACCAGAAGCCATCACCAGACTGATCCGCAGCTTGGAACAGGATGTGACATTCACTGTAGCGGCTGTGCGTGCTTTCGGAGTTCTCACCTTGCTGCTGCTCGCCTGTCTGCGCTGCAGCGTAACTTTGGATTTCCCGCTCACTGCCTTATATGCAACGTGCCCACAAGGTGGAACTCCACCTTGCACATGCTGGAGAGACTGTTTAAGCAGTAGCAGGCGATAGTGGAGTTTCAGCTGCAGCATGCATGTGTCAGTGGCTCTGCACCAGACTTCCCTCCAATTGATCAGAGTTAAAGGATTTCAAGTGGACTCATTACAATTACAGGGCCTCTAAAGAGTCCTGTATTGTTCTTTGTCGTCACTACCTTCCCGCGTTGGGAGTGGGTCATTTGCGCGCCTGCTACCTTCCTTGCATGTGGTAGCCATTTGTCAGGGTCCCTGTACGGAATCGAACCCTGATTCACCATTACCCGTGGTCACCATGGTAGGCACAGTCAATGGCATCGAACATTGATATGGATTGACATACGAATGCGTCGTCGCCATCTCGTTGGGGAGCACATTGAAAAAGTGCTCTAGCATGACGAGCTGGAGTTTAAGATGCAGCACGCATGGGTCAGTTGCTCTGCGGAACAGTTTTCTTTTTTTGTACGCCACAATATTTTGGGGGCTACCCCAATTAAAATAAAAAATAGATATATATAAAAAACAGTGTTGGCTACCTCCTCCTCCTCCACCGCTGCTTCCACCTACACCGCCACGGTCACTGCCTCCTCAACCTATGGGTAACTTAGTATAAACTATGTACACAATAGCAGAGGCTTGTGAAGGCCTTTGAAGGAGTTGAGCTCAGTTTGAACAATGAAATAGAATACCTTGCACTCCAACCCTCTCTCAAATTGATAATTCTGTTGAATTTTGATTTATGTTCCTCCAAAGCTAAAATCAAAGATTCCATCTAGTGATATTTTATGGCTCAGCTGTATTTTTAATTTTTATGTTATTTTAAGTGATTTCCCTATCCGCATTTGTTTGCAGGGCACTTGTCCTACTCTCACCCCATTTTACTTCCTTTTGTAGCCCTCAAGCCCTTTCCAGGACTTTTTTAGATGCATTTTTGTGGCCAATAGTTCGGGTCTCCATTGACTTCACTGGGGTTCGGGGTCAAGTTCGGGGTCAAGTTCGATCACGAACCCGCCGGACCCGAACATCCTGGTGTCCGCTCAACTCTAAAGATAACCACACACGAGAAGGGCTTGGGAATTATTATAGACAACAAACTGTCACGTATTCATCCACTTATAAAAATGTGATTAATGGAATTTACTGTTCAGACAGGAAAAGTTGTGCCGAACAATATTACTGTCCTTACAGGAAAAGTTGTGCCGAGCAGCAATCCATCCACAGGATGGTTTGTGATGAGCAGCAATTATGCAAATGGTACCTGGAAACTGCCTTTGGGGTCAAAGGCCGATTACAGCCTATCAGATCCAAAAGAGGTGTATTTAGGCCAATTTCTCATCCTGCTCACTGCCCTGTCGTGGTTTCCATTGTGGTTGTCCGAGAGCGCATTATTGATTCTGGTTATTCTGGTAATTTGACTTTAGCATCGATTTTGACTTCCCTGTTTTCTGGAATCCCTGACCCAGTGGTGTACATACCGGGGTCGCAGGGGCCAAGCCACCCTGCGACATGGTATGTACGCCAGTGTGGCCAGCCTTTTCTCTGGCCCTGGTGTCACCGGGTGGCCGGTCCTGTGGGTGCGCGAGGGAGCATTCTCCCCTGAGCGCTCTCTGCCCAGCTCCCTCGCGCGCACCACACTGATGCCGGAGCCGGAATATGAAGTCAGGAGGATCTCAGTGCTCCCTCGTGCGCCTGCAGGACTGGCCGCCCAGCAACACTACTGGACACCAGGGAATCCCCTCAGCACTCCAAAAGTTAGGGAGGCTGGGGGATTAATTTTTTTTTAAAAAACATGTGTTTGTGTATGAGTGTTAGTGTTAGAGTGTGTGTGTGTTAGTGTTAGTTTTGTGTCAGTGTGTGTGTTACTGTGTGTGTGTCTGCTAGTGAGTGTCAGTGAGTGTGTTAGTTTTTGTGTGTGTCTGTTATTGTGTGTCTGCTAGTGAGTGTCAGTGTAATGTGTTAGTTTGTGTGTCAGTGAGTGTGTGTGTGTCAGTGAGTGTGTTACTGTGTGTGTCTGTTATTGAGTGTGTTAGTTTGTGTGTCTGTTAGTGAGTCTGTTTGATGTTTGTTAGTGAGTGTGTGTTTGTCAGTGAGAGTGTATATTTTGTAAGTGAGTGTGGATGTGTGTCTGTCTGTCAGTGAGTGTGTATGTATGTCTGTCACTGAGTGTGTGCCTGTCAGTAAATGTGTGTGTCTGTTAGCTAGTGTGTATGCGTCTGTTCGTGAGAATGTGTGTGTTTAAAACGCCTTCAGCACTTACCTTTCTCCAGTGCCGGACTACAGGCTGGATTAACCCTCAGTGAAACATAGCAGTTTCTCTGAAACTGCTATGTTTTCAGATGCAGGGTTAAAACTAGAGGGACCTGGCACCCAGACCACTTCATTAAGCTGATGTGATCTGGGTGTCTGTAGTGGTCCTTTAAGTGTGTGTGTATCTGCATGCACTGGTGTACATACCGCGGTTGCAGGGGTCGCAGCCCTGCGACCCCATGCGACCTGATGCCCGCCGCCATGTGTTGTGGCACCGGCCCGTGCAGAGTAAGCCCACGGATCAATTTTCGCACCAGGGCCACATGGGTCGTGTGTACGCCACTGCCCTGACCCCTGGCTTTTCCTTATCGCTGTGTCTCTTTCTGTGTCCCTTGACCTCGGTTATTTCTGACTATTCTTTGGTACGTTAGTCCGGCCATTCTAAGGTCCGGTATACGTTTACCTATCAGTCCTCTGTGTTACACAATTCTACGTGCTGGATCATACTGTAATCCTGACACAAACTATGCAACAGTGTGCAATGTCAATCAGAAGTGGCTAAGGCCAGTAAGGTATTGTCATGCATGAAAAAGGGCATTCATTCTCGGGATGAGAATATCATTTTGCCTCTTTATAGATCGCTGGTAAGACCACATCTTGAATATGCTGTGCAATTTTGGCCACCCGTTCTAAAGAAGGATATTATGGCACTAGAAAGAGTGCAGAGGTGGGCTACAAAATTATTAAAAGGAATGGAACATTTTAGCTATGAAGATAGGTTCACAAATGGCACTAGAAAGAGTGCAGAGGTGGGCTACAAAATTATTAAAAGGAATGGAACATTTTAGCTATGAAGATAGGTTCACAAATGTAAACCTCTTTAGAAAAACATTGCCTCAGAGGGGATATGACAACATTATACAAATATATCCGGGGCCAATACAAACCATTGTGTGGTAATCTATTCACAAACAGGACTTTACATAGGATACAAGGTCATGCGTTTAGACTGGAAGAAAGCAGATTTAATCAAAGGCAAAGGAAAGTTTTTTTTAACAGTAAGAAAAATACGGATATGGAATTCTCTGCCTGAAGAAGTGGTTTTATCAGAGTTCGTACAGATGTTTAAACAGCAACTAGATGGATACTTGCAAAAAACAGAATATTCAAGGATATCATTTTTCAATATAGGGTAATAGCTTCTTGATCCAGGATAAATCTGACTGACATTCTGGGGTCAAGAGGGAATTTTTTCCTAGTTTGTTGCAAAATTGGGTGCTTCAAACTGGGTTTTTTTTGTTGCCTTTTTTTGGATTAACAGCCAATAACAAATGTGAGGAAGGCTGAACTTGATGGACACATGTCTCTTTTCAGCCTATGTAACTATATGTAACTATGCAAGCATTGAACACCTATATTGACATGCCAAGCTTAATAAAATTAATTATTGTAAGACAAAAGGCATAGCAGTAAAAAAAAGAAATAAACCATCAATGGTAACTCCAAACAATACATCTACAGTATCAGGTTCTTCAGTAAATCAACAATAGCATTTGTTCATTTTTTAAGGCAATAAAAAGTAGACAAATATTCAGCCAGGCACGAACACAGTGTGTCCTTCATATGGCAGCCACAGATCTATATGTTTTGTATAAAAGATTTATACTTTGTTAAGTTCAAATAAAGCAATCCAGACACGCTGAATGAATGAGAACAACCAATCATTAATCATAGCTAAATCCATAGGCCATTACTCCATACTAATTCTTCTTGACCTCTCTGCTGACTTTAATACTGTTGAGTTTTTTTATGTTCTCCTTCTCCAAACTCTTCAATCCCTCGGTCTCTGTGACACTGTCATCTCATGGTTTTCATCCAATCTCTCCCAACGTTCATTCAGTGTTTCCTGTTCTAATGATACTTCCTCCTTTTGTCCTGTATCGGTTGGAGTCCCCCAAGGCTCTGTTCTTGGTCTGCTTCTGTTTTCTCTTATACAGCCTCTCTTGGCAAACGCAGGGCTGCCATCAGAAATTTTAGGGCCCCTGACACAGCTCAAGATCTGGGCCCCCGGGGCCAGCCCCGAGTCCACCCACAAGGATGAAGTGTATGTGTGTGCATAGTGGATGTAGAATGTGTGTCATGGATGCAGTGTGTATAGTGGATGTAGAATGTGTGTAGTGGATGTGGTATGTGAGTCATGGAAGCAGTATGTGTAGTGGATGCAGAATGTGTAGTGGATGCAGATTGTACATTTTGTGTAATGTATGTAATGTTTGTATGCATGCATTAGATGCAGAGTGTGTGTGTGGTGAAGGAAGGTGTGTATAGTGAATGCAGTGTGTTTGTAGTGGGTGTAGTGTGTGTACATTGAATGCAGAGTGTTTTTTTGTAGTGGATGTAGTGTGTATAGTGCATGTAGTGTGTTTGTAGTGAATGTAGTGTGTTTATAGTGAGTGCAAAGTGTTTATAGTGCATGCAGTGTGATTGTAGTGAATGCAAAATGTGTATAGTGAATGTAGTGTGTTTGCAGCGAGTGCAAAGTATGTATAGTGATTGTAGTTAGTGCAAAGTGTGTATAGTTCATGTAGTGTGATTGTAGTGAATGCAAAGTGTGTATAGTTCATGTAGTGTAATTGTACTGAATGCAAAATGTGTATAGTGAATGTAGTGTGATTGCGATGAATGCAGAGTGTGTGTATAGTGAATGCAGTGTTTGTAGTGAGTGCAAAGTGTGTTTAGTAAATGTAGTGTGTTTGTAGTGAGTGCAACGTGTGTATAGTGAATGTAGTGTGTGTGTGTAGGGCAAAGTGTGTTTAGTGAATGTAGTGTGTGTGTAGTGAAGAGTGTGTTTAGTAAATGTAGTGTGTTTGTAGTGAGTGTGGAGTGTTTTTAGTAAATGTAGTGTGTGTGTGTAGTGCAGAGTGTGTTTAGTGAATGTAGTGTGTGTGTGTAGTGCAGATTGTGTTTAGTGAATGTAGTGTGTGTGTGTGTGTGTAATGCAGATTGTGTTTAGTGAATGTAGTGTGTGTGTTTAATGCAGATTGTGTTTAGTGAATGTAGTGTGTGTGTAATGCAGATTGTGTTTAGTGAATGTAGTGTGTGTGTAATGCAGAGTGTGTTTAGTAAATGTAGTGTGTTTGTGTAGTGCAGATTGTGTTTAGTGAACGTAGTGTGTGTGTGTGTAATGCAGATTGTGTTTAGTGAATGTAGTGTGTGTGTGTAATGCAGATTGTGTTTAGTGAATGTAGTGTGTATGTGTAATGCAGATTGTGTTTAGTGAATGCAGTGTGTGTGTAATGCAGATTGTGTTTAGTGAACGTAGTGTGTGTGTGTG